GCTTTACAATAACAACACTTAATTTAAATGAGCATGTAGTAATAACAATCTGACATCAACTGTGGCAACGGCTGTCACCCGAAGTAACCCAACTTTGCGCACAGCCAATGGAACGGACCCCGTTTCTCTATCTGCTCTATCTTTAAGCTCGCGACCACACTAATCAAATCCTCAAAAGATGAAATTCCACTCCAGATGACGGCCCAAATATAGTCGACGGCTAAAAAAGATCCGTGTTCATGTTTTACGAGCGTGTATGCGCTATCAGCGGCACAGTTTCGCCGAGTCGAGACCACCCTTCTCAACTTATGAGGTTTTAATTGTCGCCTACAATATTATTTCCGGATGTCGCGTTTTGCGCACGCGCAGAGCTACCGTAATTACCCGAAAAAGTAGGCCAATAAAAAGGTTTGGCTGGTTAGCTTTGGCAGCTATTTCCTGCTCGTAGACTGTTTTTGGTTATTGAATACATATGCGTACAAAATAAAATAAGAATAAGCTCTTTACCCTGTTGCTAAATGCTGTGCACTGTTACAGAGGCAAATGTTTTCAAGATATATAGCATAAATATATATAATATTTATAAATATTCTGTTATGTTATCAAGATGCAGCTTTTGTCAATTATGTTCCAAATCTATGGAACACATTAACAAGGGAATAAAGCCAGCTTGCTAAAAAAAAAACATTTTTTTAAAGAAAGATAAAAAAAATTGTATTTTTACTGCACCTAGCAAATTACCTGCTCGTAGACTGTTTTTGGTTATTGAATACATATGCGTACAAAATAAAATAAGAATAAGCTCTTTACCCTGTTGCTAAATGCTGTGCACTGTTACAGAGGCAAATGTTTTCAAGATATATAGCATAAATATATATAATATTTATAAATATTCTGTTATGTTATCAAGATGCAGCTTTTGTCAATTATGTTCCAAATCTATGGAACACATTAACAAGGGAATAAAGCCAGCTTGCTAAAAAAAAAACATTTTTTTAAAGAAAGATAAAAAAAAATTGTATTTTTACTGCACCTAGCAAATTATTTTTCTTAAGTATTATTATGTTGCCTTTTATTATTATTATTATTATATTGTTTTTTGTTATGCATTTTATGTATAATCATTTTATCTTTTCTTATCATTATAAAGTATAGTTCATTTTAATATTAATTAATTAATTTATATTAGTTTTGGTATTTTTTTAATGTGAAGTATTTGGTGACTATTTTAATATAAGTTTATGATAATAATTGTTATTATATTTAATGTTGTTGTTAAAGTAAATGTTTCAGCAGTGTTTTTGAGGGCTCTTAACATTGTCAAATAGACTATCCCTTTCTGCTGTTCTTCATTCCACTGGAATTTTTATAGTTTTATTTTTTCCACTTTTCTCTTGGCTGTTATTTGTATAATACTGTTTATTGTATAAATATTTTACTTTATTGCATAATACTGTTTATTTAAAAAAAAAACTATTATAATAAAATTAATAAACAACAAATAAGAAAAAATATTTTAGAGTAATTAGTCAAATGAAATTTCGGCTAATGTAACTGTCTTCGGTTGTGCACCATGCTTCTGCATCATCATGCACTTCTAGGGCTGCATGCGCCAGCCGAGCAACGTGGTATGCTAACGGGTCTGCACTGCCAAATCTTTATTTGGGTCATATGGTGTTTTACGGTAGCCTAGAGGAAGTACTGGCATCGCGGTTACTTCGCTTATTCAACCCGGGGCTCACATCTGGATACATTCCCGAAGGATCCTTCCACCGTGCACTATTTTGCAGTAGACCAAGTGCTGTCTCACCGTTGCAGTCATGCCGATGTTCGTGGTTAACACAAATGTTGCAAAGGACGCGGTTCCTGCTGAGCTGCTGTCGGAGGCCACGCAGGAGCTCGCCAAAGTAATGGGCAAACCCGCGCAGGTGAGCAGACTGCATGTTTCTTATTTCCTACAAATCGAATTACTTTTTTTATTAGTGGACATGGAATGAGGAACTACAATGGAACATACAAGAGACTACTCTACAGTAATTCCCTTAGCTGTAGCTTAAGTCATGTTGGACTTTTCATTGTCTTAACGTTAAAGAGATCTAGGCATCATACATCATCACTATTATTTGTCTCGAATTAAGCTTAACTAGTGATGGGAAATCAGTCTCATTTCAGTGAACCATGCTTTCGAACAAATTGTTTAAAAGAACCAGTTCAAAAAAAAAAAACGATTCAGTGATTCTTTTACGTCCTGACGCAGTTACGTGACCGCGTTCTACCAGATCCCCGTGTGTGACATTACATACATTTAGCTGTTTACTAAGTATTACAGTATTAAAAATGTGTATTTCAGTTCAGTGTTTTTGAGCCATGTATCGATTCATAAAATAAACTCATTAAACTCATACAAAAAGTAATTTGGAAGCTTATAATAAGCCAAAATTGCGTTTACATGACACGAAATTAATATACATTTTGTTTTGAAAATTTAGACTCGAGAACCGCTCGGATTCGTGAATGAATCTTTCAGATCTGTTTCTTTGAAAAGAAATAACTGCATCATTAACTATTTACCCTTTTGTGTCTCTCTTTGTATTGCTGCGTGACAGTACATCGCCATACACATCATCCCGGATCAGATGATGATGTTCGGGGGCAAAGGAGATCCGTGCGCGCTCTGCTCTCTCACCAGCATCGGAAAGATCGGGAGTGCGCAAAATAAGCAATACTCCAGACTTCTTATGGGCTTGCTAAACAAACACCTTGGCATTTCACCTGCCAGGTAAATCCATGTATTACAGCTGTCTGTCTTTTGCACTTACCAGAATATTATGCACAAATTAAAATTTCAACTTGCAAATTTCAAATGAATTTCAGTTGTTACAGTTTTTCTCGATTGCTTAAACACATTTCTTGAAATTGTGACTACTTTTCTCAAAACTCTAAACCCAATTCCCCATACTTCCTATGTTCAGGTCAAAATGAAGCTCTCCACTCAAAACTATTCCATTTTGCTGAAAAAAAACAAACTTTGCCCTCAGACATGACACACAACCCCTCAAAAACACACACACACTACAGCACAGTCTTACACACTAGTGAGATCAATTCATAACACTGTTGCAAAAACCTCCTTTTGGCAGTCAGGTATCATTTTACAACTCAATGTCTATTACAGTATACAACATAATCAGAGCAGATACATGTTACAGCAAATATAACAGATACAGTGAAATTCAACAATAAGCTTTACAGTAAGAAAATATTATTTTCATTACACTGCTGTAAAGAGATCTTACAGTACAGTAGATGAAAAGCACTAGAAAGGAAAAGGTCAAATACCAAAGAATTGCATATGAACACAACAGAATATAGAGTCATCTCTTAGTTCTGCAAAAAATACAGTACATGTAAGAAGTACTTGGCTACAAATCAGTTCAGCAGTTATGAGTTTGAGGGTGTACAACTTGTGCTTCAGTATTTACTGTACATATATATAAAAAGTAAAAGTTCTCTCATCTGAAGTACTGTTCTGTCATTATATTTGAACTGTAAGTAGTATTGAAAGCCTGTAGATGAGCCTGTATGCCAGCTGTCCTCATGCACAAGAACATGATCAACTACAGCGCTGTGTATTTCATCAGGAATAAATGTCCTTTTACCCCGTCCCCTTCATTTTTCTTTTCCCCTCCTCTTCCTCTTTGTCTCCCACTAGTAGGATTCATTTTCCAAAGCACATAATCACCTGTGCTCCTTTTATATCATCCTGAGATTCTGACTGGTGTCATCAGTTTTGCTACTTAATGTTCACACATGGATAAATGTGTGCTGTTTTGAGTTCATTTTGAGATTCTTGAGGTGGTTATATTGTGTGTTTGTTTTCTAAATGAGAACATGGTTAAACTTGTGCAAAATGATGCCGTTCTTGTGTAGAGTTTTGCAGAAAATACTGAGCAAATTGGAGCGTGTGTGAAAACAGGTGAAATGTGTTAAAAGTTTTGAGAAACATGTCTTTGTTTCAGGAACTGTATGAATGGTTTGGAAAATTGTGCCAAACGAATCAGTTATAGTGTGTTAGCAATCGAGAAAACTGTAATATGCTTATGCATGCATACATATTAAGATATACCTTTCATATTATGGGTTGTTTTGTATGTGTCAAATGCAGTTATTATTTGTTTGTTTAGTAAAACCTTTTTGTATCGTTTTACAGGATTTATATAAACTTTGTTGATATGGATGCAGCTAATGTGGCTTGGAACAGCACTACCTTTGGATAAAGAATATAGATTTATGATCCAATATAAGGTGGCGGTTTCTATTCCAGCTCTACTTGGAGAAAAGCTGTTGGGAGCATAATGCTATCAGTCAATTAAATCTTAACACACAGCACTTACTGCTTACAGCAGACATCTCCCTTTGACAATAAAGCTTTCTTTAAACTGCATTTGAGATGTTTTTGTTATACATGCCTCTTTAAAGCACAGATGTTTTTACGAAATCATAATGCTGACAAGGGGATTGTATCGTTATTGGCCATAAAATTAAATGGTAAATTAAATTAGATATTAACACATAAATATCCAAAATAAAAGAAACCACAACATACTGGGCAAATGAAGTAGCTCAGCATTAGACTTAAGGCATCATGATGAATTTGCAGCATTTTTAATTCTTGAGCCACACTTCCAATGTTAAAAATCTTGTTTTAGGCATGTCTTAGTGTTTGAGTCTTAATTTGTGTGCTAATAAACCTTAAGTCATACCAAGGTACGATACTGATTTTATAACTAGCCTAGCAACAACATCCTTTTGAGAAATCAGCAGAGGGGAAATACATGCTTCAAAAGTAAGATTATAAAAGGCACAGTGGCATATATATATATATATGTATATGTATGATGTGAGACCACACGTCTGTCAGAAATATTTTAGCCACAACAATGAGACTATATTTTAGACTACTTTTGACCAAAAACTAGCATAATAATGCAGATTAAAGGTAGATCATGGTAGCTTTATTTGTATAAGTCAAACAGGAAAAAAAGACTGACAAAACATTAACATTGAGTACAGAGACAGGTAATAGTAATCTAAAACTAGTCATTTCAAAATAGAACATGAACAAGACTTTGAGAGTTTAACAGGAGAAACAAAGCAAGGTCAATTATCCAGTCCGGAACAGCAGAGCCGATCATCAGAAAACAGACAGAGATTTTCCCATTAGTCTATTTACATCATTATGCATCCAGTGTCCAGGAACAAAGATGACTTGACTAGAGGGAGAAAAAAAAATTAGGAAAATTTATTTTATTGCCATTTACAAAGCTATAATTTGTTAAAGACATGTTAAGCGCAACAGACTCACCTGTCTCCTTATAACCTCTACTTGCTCTTCAACGCTTCCTTCAGGGCAGAAACCACTTCAGCAGGATCAGGAAACTTAAGTTTGCGTGGAGGACCCTTCTTAATGCCAGACCACAAAACAACCTCTGCTCAGGAGAAAGAAATACAGAGGCAGCATATGTACAAAAAAAATAAATTATTTGGACAGCCATAAAATGCAACCTTTGTTACTCGATGCAGGCAGCTGAAAAAAGACATGTCTGAATACTGCTTGGGCTTCTTTCCGTGGCAGGCTAACCTTTGTCTCCCTCCATCAGCGTGACCTCAAAGCTGTTCCGCCGAGGTTTCTGAGGATTGAGCACCACGTGAAGTTCAGGTTGCGAAGCCGCAAGTGCCTCACGCACACCTTCCGCATTCCGCCCATAGACCCGTCAGCTTTTGCTGTAAAACATTTAGAATATGAACGACTCAAATATAAGGGTATCTTCTATATAATTAACTTTAGGGAGTATTTCTACATATTTTTAAAAATCTTTTAAATTGTTATAATATAGCAAAAACTGCTGTAAATAATTCACAAAATATTGGTACACAATAAACAGTGCATTAACACATTTTCAATAGCTAGCCATGTGACCTCACCAATGCTCAATGACGACCCTTTGTCCTGTTTCTTCATCTTTGTCAGCTCCATCAAGCTTTTCCTTCTTCTCCCCCACTGCAACGTGTCCCCATTTAGATAGCTAAGTAAACGTGTGTGTGTGTGTGTGTTCATATATATAAAAAAGTTATGTAATATGGGCAACAAAGACTGAGATTGTAAGGCGTGACCTTACACAAGCAGCATGACTCCCACTGAAAAAGCATAACGTGACAAACAAGAAAACTCATACTCTGATAATG